ATTATCCGTGGCAAGTACGTTACGAAGTACCTTGTTGACTGGCGTAACATTCGAGGCATTTTCATCACGTAACCTTACAGTTTTTGGAGCTGGAGTGTTGGAGTCCTGTCTACATTCATTACTGCGCTTTTGACAGTCTCTATCATACTTATGTTGAAAAATATGGTTTCTAATCGCTTCAAGCACTTCAAAATGGCAATCTTCTATGGCATAATGTATAGGTGTTTTACGTTCATCGTCCACCACATCATATTGAGCACCATATTTCTACATTCGCTAAGTGTTAATATTCATTTTGAAAATTTATAGGGAAGGATTGCCTACCAAAAGTTGCTTCACAATATCCACACGTCCAAATATTGCTGCCACATGTAATGGCGTCATATTTTCGTTGGACCGCACATTGGGATCAGCTTAAATGTGTGTATACGTACGAACATATTTATAAATTTATTCAAAATATTGAGTTTTAAAAACTTATGTAACTCACCACCGTCCTGAAGGAATCTTTTTGATATCTCCCAGGCTAATTCTGCGTTCTCCATTCCGCACGCATAATGCAGTGGCGATATACCGCGCTCAACAGGGACAAAACTTGCATCTACATTATTCCTTTCAAGTATAGCATTTATGTCGCTTGCAAAGTTAAAGTTTAAACACTATTAGTTACAATTTTTATAATTGGTTTCAAGTAAATTTTATTAACATCATGTTTTTTTACCTTTCATTACCATCCTCTAGTGCGTCCAACAAAATAAGAGCGAGGAAATTTGCCCGCTGGTCCACTTGAAAACTTGACATCTCTGCAGGACTTTCACTCATATTATTTTAATTAGAATATTTTTCTGGAAATGTTCCTTTCGTTATTAATACATATCCTTTTGATATCCCTTATTTTTTTACTTTATTTTAGCACTATACCACTTAAATTCTAGTTTAAATCAGAGTTGAATTTTAAACACTATGCTAATTGATAATAGCGCTACGTACTGTACTTTACTAAATATTAGACCCCAGTCGGAAAAGTAGCGCCAGTGGAGGGGGTAGTCGGAAAATCGTTATAATTTTGCGTAAAATCTCATTTTTACAATTTCATATCTTATTTTCGTTAAAATGCTATTTCATATGCAAAGTTATACCCTTTCCTCTGAAGCTCGCTATCAAGTTAGGTTAGGGTAATCAATACATTATTCTTATGTTCGGGCACTATTACACAGTCATGAGTTGTGCCACTCTGCCATAGTACGGTTGTTGCTCCCTTTCATACCACAGTAAATTGTATACAACTCTGAATCAACAAAATTCATGCTCCTTCTCAATAACAACCCTGATCAGATTTTACCCCCAAAGAGTACTCAAAATGGTTTATTACTGTATATACTGTGGTTTATACGGTGTTTACATGAAGCGATTTTACAGGCAACTTTGAGGTGAAAGCAACAATCGCCTGGTGTGAACGGCCTTTCAACTAATCGCTTACAATGAAGTTGGTCGGCTGCCTACTTTCGTTCAACTTTTGGTTCAACTAATCGCCTGTGAAAGTTGAATCATGTAAATTCCCTATTAGCCAACTTTTGATTCAACTAACCGCCTCTAAGGGCAGGTTGCTCAAAGCCTGATTGACACTAATCCCCGGTTAAACATCGTTATCGACGTTACCGACACCATGTTATTTGCATGGAGCCGAAAACGTCGATAACGATGTTAATCGGTGATTAATGTCAATCAGGCTTTGAGCAACCGGCCCTAAAACCGCTTAGAAAATCATCTTATGAGAACGCCGTTTTAGGCATCAACGTTGGCTCATAATCTTAAGAGGTGCACGTAAAGTGAGCTCCATACAAATTTTGAAAGTTCCTTTACGAAGCTCGTAGACTTACTAAGTTAACGAGTCAAGGCTCTGTTATGCATACTTGGCATTGCATGCACTGCTATACCATTTTTAGGTAGAAATCAAAAAGCAACAGACTTTTACGTATGTAATGCTGTGCGTTGGGTAACCGCTTACACGCGAAGCTCATTTAACAGATTCCTTATGTGACAACTCTCAAGCAATGCCAAGTATGCATAACAGAGCCTTTAAGTCTAGAGAATTTTGATTTTTCGCTATGTGACATTTTCCAAGAGAGATGCCACTCTCATTGTTCTCATTATCTGTTCCAGTGCCCATCAGGGTCGTTCTTTTACATGCATTGGGGCACATTTATATTCGAAACAAAGTCAATTATAAAGTTAGTTGCCGCCATTTCACTGAAAATTATGACAAAAAGCAGCAACTAACTTTAGTGTCGACTTCATTTAAGCTATGAATAATCATTCTTCAATTATGTTTTCCTAACCAAATGCTGTAGTACTAGAACAGGATAACTGATTACACTGAACAGCTGATTCTGGGAAATTATGCGCTCTATGCCGAGTATAATTACACCATTGCTTCACATGCGCTGCTAGACTATGCCCTGCACTTGCAATGTAATTAGGTTTGTTCGTCGAGCTAAAAATTTGTACGAATTTGTACGAATTATCACGATTTTTGCCCAAATCGCGTTCGTGCAGACCAAAAAATTATCCAACACTCAAAAATTGTGAGAGCAAAGTGGCAGTTCTCTTGGAGAGAAGTTGCAAATTCTTGCTGGAAAAAATTTTGCCAGCAAGAATTTGCAAACACGAACAACATGTGGTTGTGGCGCATGGTTGCATTTTTGTCTACAATAATTTGAATAAATTAGTTCGTTAAATTTAAAAATTTATAAACACGAGCGATTTTTTTATGAAAAAAGGAAGTAAATAATTGTTGATATAATT